GTTTAATGCAACCCTGCCACAATTACCCTCATCTTTCTTCAAAGAAATGAAAAAAACTTCATATGGAGAGGGAAGAAGCCCAGAATTAGCATAGAACTCCTCAAGAAGAAGGACAGAGTGGCTTGCTTTACCTGAATTTAGCACATACTATACAATCACAGTTGTCAAAACCGCATGGTTTTGGTACAATGACAGATCCTCAGACCAATGGAAAAGAACTGAAAACCCAGAAATAAAATCATCAGCATACAGACAACTGATCTTTGAAAAGGGACCAAAAATATCCAATGGGAAGCAGATGACCTCTTTAACAAGTGGTGCTGGAAAAAGTGGATATTTACCTGCAGAAAATGAAGCAAGACCCTCATCTCACTCCATGCACAAGAATAAACTCAAGGTGGACCACAGACCTTGAAGTTAACCCCAAACTATTAGGGCCACCAATGAAGAAATTGGGACCAACTTGAGAACACAGGCTATCAGAAAGAGGGAAGGACACAAACACAGAGGAAGCACAAATTGACAAATGGGATATATTGAAGATGTAACGCTTATGTACATTGAAAGAATTCACCAAGAGAGTAATAAGAGAGTCCATGGACGGGAAAACATCTTTAGCAATGACACATCAGACAAAGGCCATATTACTAAAATTTACAATACTCTGCTAGCTTCCAAAAAGAAAAAAACTAATTGCCCACTGAGGAGGTGGGCAAAGGACCTGAACTGAAGTTTCCCAGGGGCAGAAATCTGAATTGCCAACAAATATATGAGAAAATGTCCCCGATCTTTAGCCATAAGAGAAATGCAAATTTAAAAAACCACAATGGGGTACCACCTAACACCCTCAAAGATAGGTCAATTAAAAAAATCAGAAAGCAACAACTGTTAGAAGAACTCTCATCCACTGCTGGGGAACCTGTAAGTATGCACAGACACTATGGAAATCAATCTGGCGATATCTAAAACAGATGGAAATAGAGTTACCATATGACCCAGCAATCTGCCTACTGGGCATATACCCAGAAGAGGTAAGAAACAAACCAAGGCCAGACATCTGTGCTCCAATGTTCATTATGGCACAGTTCACAATTGCAAGGAGTTAGAAACAACCCAAATTTCCATCAACTGACGAGTGGATTAAAAAGCTGTGGTACATACATACAATGGAGTACTATGCATCACTAAAAAGCAGTGATGAACATATGAAGCACATTGCTGCATGGGAAGAACTGGAGGAAATCATGCTAAGCGAAGCAAGCCAAGCACAAAAGGACAAGTACAACATGAGTCTGCTGAGGTAAGCTTTAAAAAAAGAAAAAAGAAAATGCAAAAGGGGCATAGGGAAAAAGCTACTATATACAAACATTCCTGGGGTGAGGACCAGGTAGTATGGCAGGGACCAGACCAAATACAGGAATACATATGGTAGCCAAATAAAAAGGAGATGGGGAAAAGAACAAAATAATAATAATAAAGAAATGGGTAGCAGGGGCACAGGGCACTAACGCACCCAAGGAGAGGGTATTGTTCATACCTCCACAGGGAAAGAGGGACCAGACTTCAACCCAGTGCTCCAAGATGTGAATGCAATATGCCGGCGTAGAATAGGGAATCAGTGGAGAGGTCTGAGGGGCTGGCCCCAATCCCAACTAAGTGGACACCTGCACCTCCCCGCAGAAGAATTTAGTTCAGAGGACAGCATTGAATATGCAGCTCTGGGAGAGTGACGTATCTGATCAGAGTATACAGGAGCAGAAGAAGGGGGAGGAGGAGAGAGTGGAGCA